TCGTGGTGAAGCTCAGATATTGGAGTAGTTACAGAATACATTCCTGCCAAGCAAAGACCTGTGACCGCTGCTTGGCTTTGTCCCGGTCATCAGTCTCAGGAGCTGCGTGGGTCAGGTTAAGAAAAGCAAACATGTCTTTATTATGATGTGGTTAATAACAGTTGTATAGTTTACCTCAGAAGAACCATGTGCTGCAGTGATACGTAGGTTATTTTTCTTGTTGTAAAGTTGGTTCTGCAGAAACAGCTGATGAAGTTACAGACACTTGAATTTGCCCCATCACTGAGAGCGTCTGGAGTGATGCAGTCATTTCTCTAGAACATTTCAGCCTAGTTTGGAGAGAAGTGGGACAGTCAGCTGGTACAGACACAAGAACTAGAACTTGGACTATTTTCAGATTATCAGCCCTTCATTCTGCCAATGCTCTCAGTCAATTTGTCTTCAAGTTTTCTGTTCTTTGGACTAATATCTTAGTAGTACTCGTGGTACTACTCGTAGTTGTTGTGTTCAGTCATATAAGCGAGTGTTTACAAAACACACCTGACTCTGTTTTCCTAGCCAGAGGCGGAAGATCCCTACAGAACTTTTAGTGTATCAAGAATAACCTGTTTCATTTTTTATTGTTCTAACAGGACCAATCAGCTGTCAGGTATTTTATTGGACTGCTGGCTGATCAATGTTTTTTTCTATCTATTTGAGTGAAAATATACAGCAACTCAAGATGTGTCTTCTTGGAATTAGGCCATCACTCGTTCAGGAGATCAATGTGTGTGACCAAACCAATCAACAAACACACACATGCGTGCGCAAACACACTCACTCAGTCAAACATCAGAAGTGTATTGATTCATCAGGAGTGTGTTCTGTTATCCCTCACTCCTGCAGAGAGAGAAGTCAAGGCTGTTTGATTTGTTGAGCCCAAATTCACAAAACACATTTATCTTCATGGACTTTACGCTGTTGAAATTAAAATGACACATTGGTCTCCAGAGGAATGTGGAGACGGAGACATTTTTCTTTCACATGGTAATAATGAAAAACAATCTTAAACATTCTTGAACTTGGAGCTTGGTTTGGTTCTTATTGTTCCATTCTTAGCATCATAACTTTTTTTTATTAGCAATGTTTTTAGAAGAAACATAGCATAAAACACTCATAAGGGCACACACAGACACACACACTCAGCAGCAGTAGCAGCAGCAGCAGCAGTGCCAGCCTCCTGTGAGTGCTTTAATATCCTGTCCTGTTTTCCACACGGCCAGTCCCAAAATAAACCCAAACCTGCTGCTGGTTTGACTCAGTGCTCAGAAATACACCGAGTGATGAAAGCAGGAGACTGCAAAGAAATGCAAACGTGCCACCTTCCTCTGTGGCTCTTGTCACATATGGAACACATATCCCTATACACATAATAAAAACACAACCCTGGATGTTTAAATTTTGTTGCTAGAACATAAGGTGCACCGCAGTGACTCAGTGTAACCATAGAGTCAAAGAATTCTCACTGACAGCTCAGTGGTGAAGGGAGTTGTCTAAGAAAACACTCTCCGGAAATTGGTTTCAAAGACTCCCCAGCATCTGAAACACAGTAGGAAATGCACTATTCCCCTGTTCTCCATACTCCATACTATAAATAACTGCTGCTCTTGTTAATCTGAGGAAGAAGGCGGAAGCCACAAGAGTGGAGACTGTTCAAAGATGCTCAGTGCTGAAGGTTCAGCACGTTTGTTGACTCATGCTGTAACATACAGGTGTGTCTAGTGGCACGCGTAAAAATCTTCAACATTTTTTATAATTTTCTAACCAAAACCTGCATTTTGTGTGGGATGGTAATGTGTGTTAGACTTGGGTCTGCATAACATAACAAAAAGGAAAGGTGACTGGAGTCAGGTTCAAAGTTTGAATGACTGTTGGTAGAACAAAGGCTTCTTTCCTACTTGTGCTGAACCTCTGAGATACTGCAGAGATTATTCCAACAGAATGTGTAAACACAATTGTCTGCTGAGGACACTGGAGATTTCCATGCTCACTTTCTATGATGAACTACAACTGATGTCCATGTACAGTAAGATCACGTGCTGCTGTAGCCTTTTTTGCTCACTGAGGCTGGTCTGACGCCTGAAGCCTGACCTGAAGTTGAACCCCATACAGTGACTTCATGCTTGGTATTGAGATGGTACTTTAAGCCTGAGCGACTTTGTGACAAGAAAAAAAAGTGTGCAAATAACAACATGTGTATCGACAGTGTGTTAACCTTGAAGTTTGAATCTCGAGTTTAAAATAATGTCCAGACGGCCAACGTGTGTGTGTGGAAATCAATCAAGTGATGCAGCAGTAATGTGCATGGCAGAAAGATGTCTTCTCTGTATTCATAGTACAAAACAATGTTCATGGACACACAAAATAAAGATACCATTGAACAACTACACCCTCCAGTTTCAGCTGCTTCCAAAACAAACACCTTCAAACCATACACTTGTATTGGTGAATGGTGATGCCATTGATTTTTACTTTTTCTACACATCTCTCTCCGGCTCTCAGCCTCACAGCCACAGCTGAGTTATAGGACTTCATAGCATATTGATTAAAACTCTGTCACACTGATTAAAGACTGCAGAGGCTGACCTGTCTCAAAGTGTGGCAGATTTCACTGACTTCTTTTTTAAGGTGACCATCTCACTGCCTGACCTCATTCTTTTTTTTCTTTTTTTTTAAAATGACTGTTGTAGAATGGATACTCGATAATAACTGTTCTCTCCAGCTGTGTCCCCAATCAGTCCTCACCCTGCAGCCTCCCTCTCCTTCTTTTTTCAGACCACACCCGTCCTAATGAGTCACGTTGCAGCAAGTTAACCTGACCTCGTGTCTTGACTCTGTGAAGGCACACAGGGTCAAACAGTTTGATCTGTTAAAGATGCACATATTACAAAATCCATTAGAATGTGTATAGCAAAAGAGTTTCCTATTTAACAATGTTAGAGACTACGTGACTTCCTGTTGGCCTGCTGGTTCCACCTAACTCTCTTTCCGCAGTGACCTCTGTGACCGCTAGAGTTTGGAGGTGAAAAGATCTAGACATCAGTAATTCAAACATAAATCCTTTCTCCATTATATCCTGTGTGAGTCAGTGATGGACAGTGGGCGTCCAAACACTCTCTGCCTCAGTTGTTCTTCTTTTATTGTGGTTAAAATAAGTTTACTGTTCCTTGAAACACCCTTAATATTTGATAAACCTGTATAGGCCTAATTGTGCAGGGTAGTATAACATTTGTGCTTGATATTACTTCAAATGTTGACCTCAGTGTCTGGACTTTGCTCCTTGGCGCCAAATTGAATGTTTTAAAACACAGGTTTGGCTTTTCTTAAAGGTAAGCTAGTTTATATAATCAGCAGTGACAGTGTAACACACCAAACTTTTTTTTCAGGAAAACAAACTTGTTTACTACTTATATTTATCAATATACATCAAGAAAAGGTCTTCATTAGTGTGTTGGTAGAAAACCCATTACTGTGTATTGTTTAACACTGTGTGAGTGAGTGTGTCCGTAAGTTTTTATATTTGCATCTCTCTGCTCCCTCCAATCACTTTGTTCTTTGTGTTCTGTTGCAGAAGTGCTGGAGTGGTTCTGTTCATGTTGGTTCAAAGACTGACTTGAAAAGAATGATCTGGAAGTAAATTCCTGTTTCAGGACCTTGCCGGTGCGTGCTTGTTTTTGTAACACTGTGGGACACAAATTTCTTAAACAAAACACTAATGTTTTGGTTGGATTTTATTCTGCAACACTTAAGTCTGATTAGTTTTATTATTAACAGTGTGATCAACATAGTCTGAATATTATTATTAGTTTTATTTTAACCACAAACTTTTAACCACTAAATTACTCTGTAATAAAGTCAAATAAAATTGATAAGATGAGCTAGTCTCTTCAAACCTACGGTGTTTTCCGCCCTCTAGTGGTGTTGGGAGGACAAACAGCTGAGAGGAACAAAGGCCTTTTGGTCCAGAGTCAGCGTTACACTATATTCTGTTTAATACTTGTTTTGGTAGGAATATTGTAAAGCAGCTGTTGAGTGCACCAAAAACAGAACAACAGGATTTGAACCTTCAATGATCTGGTACCAAGCCCAATCCGTTTACTACTAGACACAGCAAACATACTGTAGTTTAAATGCTGAAACAGTTGCAAATTTCAAGTGACTGTAAAAACGATGACAGTACAATGCATTGATTGGAACAGCATGGCCAAATAAATTAATGTAAAATACCAGTCATCAAACCGAATCCCAAATCTTGTGTTTTTTTATCTGTGGTAGGAAACACACATACACACAGATCCAATGCCAGTTACTGTAGTTTTCTGTGGTTTCAGAATTGTATTTAACTGATCAGTGCAGTGCTAACCGAGTCTACAGTGTGGATGTTAGCTAGTCTATTAATCTAATAAGGATAAATCTTCTTCTTCAAATGCTGGTTTTATCTGTACGGTATCGCCGCTGTGTTTTAATGTTGATCATCCTAGCGGTACTTAGAGGGACAAATACTGCCCTCTGTTTACTTTGAAAGACTTCTTTCCAGAGGATCAGCAAAGCTGAAGGAGCTTGGGAAATGTGACAAATTGATAATATTTGATATTTCTGTTGTTGATTTGAACAGTGTATAAAAAAAAATCTAAACCTGCTGTTGTTGTGATAGTTCTGTGTTTTGTAGTGACTAAAGGACTGGTTAGTTTGAGGGTCTGCTGTCTGTGTAGGTGGTGACGTGGGCAGAGATGAAGCTGCTGCTTATTAACGCTGAGCACTTGTTCTAATGAAGAGACAATCTCAGTATCTCTCACTGCTGCGTGTCAGCTGACGCGGCGGCAGCGGCCTCGTGGAGACAGTTGCCCGGGCGACCGACGTACGTCATTCTGTAACGGTTGCCATGGTGAACACGGTTCGCCTGACGTCAAAGCCCCTCGCAAGATGCCTCGGAAACCCCCTGGAACGGTCACCGTGGATACTGGCGGGGGAGGGGTGGGGTTTAGAGGAAGCGGAAGTGTCAGAGCAGGCGGAAGTGGTACTGCCCTGAATACGCTGAGCACCGAGCGGAGGACGCCTTGATAAACTCTCGCCTTTCAGAGAACAAAATCGGAATTCCGAGCACACTCTAAATGTGAGTTTATAACCGTATGTTTTCGATTAAGTCCGATATTTTAGACAAAGCAGACTTTTGCGGCTAAAACGGCGGTCCCTGCAATGGCCCCATTCCCTGCCTTTGCGGCGGAAGGTGCCCATTGTGGTTTGAAGCTGGGTACGAGCGTTTAGGCCCAGAGTTGTTGGCGGAATGGTAATAGAAAACCATTTTATATTTTAGCAATGGAGTAACCTGTCTGTTTCTTTATTTCAATTCTCAACAAAAGGTTAGTTTTATGACCGCACAATTCCTGTGCCAGGCACGATGACCAGCGTTCGCGTGGGGAGGGATACGCGGCACCTAAATTTGGCCATTTTGACAGCTTAGCGGCAGCAGCAGTTAGCGGGACACACACCTATTAACCGCAGGTGCTGAGTGCTCTAAGTGGTAAATAACGGGTTGCGAGGAAAACGCCTGAGGCTAAAACGGGCCTACAGAAACACGCAAATCCTGTAACACTTGTGACCTCAGCCTTCTCTAGACACAGCAGCGTTCGACGCCTTTCACGGAGCCCTGTCATGGCGTAGTGAGCCGAGATGGAAGCTCACACACCCTCCATATTCACCCACTGATTCTTCATTATTATTATAGTATCGTATTTAACGTTACACGGTAGCCATGAAGCGAAACTGAAGCCGGATTCTATCTTAAATATGTGTATCTAACAGTGTGTGTTTGCGTGTGTGTAATAACGCCATTCGGAGTGAACTGGGTCACTGAGCGTTAGCAGCAGCGGCTAAGACCACCGTGGATTGCATTGACGTTGATTTAGCATGCTCAGCTAGGTGGCGGTAATCTTAGCTCTCCATTTTAAAATTCCGCAGGGGAATGCGAAAAGGAGGGCGTAGCTGTTAGCAGCCCCCCACACAAACCGACTACCTGGAAGATTTCTCTCTGCGGTGATGATACATTAGCAGATAGCGTGGTTTAAATAAACGTTTTCATAGAGCCTATGCCAAAGTCCGCTGTCGTTTTTCTCTTTTGCGCATAAGTCTTTTGTGCCTCGCACAAAATGTAGGCGGTTGGTAATCGAGGCTGTTGCTAATGGCGAACGAAAGAAATAATGGTAAACCCACGGATTGTTGGCCACGGTTAGAAGAGCCCTGTGTAGATCGACGTCCCCGTCGTGTGCCGCAGCGGTTAACCTGTAGTTCATGAACGCGCCTGCTGCTAACGCGTGGATGCTACGACAGAAAGTCTGGCCTAAAGGCAGGAAGCGTTTGTCCGAATGGCAGCGATCCATGTGTATTCAGACTGCTGCTCGGTTCTGTTTGATCCTCGTTGTTTTATCACCTCATTTTGACATAACACAATCACACCACGTACACATCTGTATTTCTAAATATCGCGCAAAGTAATAGAAAATTCGACTTTTAACATTTTAAACGATTGATTACGTCATTGTCTTTAAGTATCGATTAATGTTGTTATTAAAAAATAGAAGTAATGTATTGAGTTTTTATTTAAAATTAAGTGCAAACACGAAAATACTTCAACAATTATTTTTATTTAAAAAGTATAAACTAAAATATTTTTTGTGTCCAACTCAAACATGATTGAAATAATAATTTTTTTTAAAAAGTCGGGGCATAAACGTTTTAATTTGTTACAGCAAAACAAGTTAGCCTCAGGCAAGTAGTGTATTTGAGATATAATTGAGATTCCGACTACTGTGGCGATTAAAAACAAATTCTGCAGTGGTCAAAGTAACTTAGCTACCAGCCAGTGAGCGAGATAATTTCAAAATAACATGAAAATAAAACATTACTGTGCAGTTAAATAATAGTTGTGTGATAATGAGTCACTCAAAACTAACCCTTGTGGGTGTAAATTAATAGATAATAGTACTAAACTGAAGAAACAATATAAAACAGCGTGCTTAAAATTAGCAAGTCTTATTTTAACATGACTTTGAGCCCATATTAATATAATAATTAAGAGTTTTGTGATTTTAACTGTCTTGGCCTATAATTTAAATAAAAATAAAACAATAGAAAATAAGAATAAATAGAATTATATAGTAATTCAGTCTAAATAGCTGGATATTTTCTTATGTAAACACAGGTCTTTATGTATTTATACATATAATGAGAGAGACTAAACATAACATTTACATGTTATGATATATAGCTTGGTCTGGTCAATGGCCATAGCTTTTTAATGGCATATTAAATATGGCAGATGTAGAAAAAAAGTCTAATAAAGAAGAAAAAAATAGTTTCTACATTTTCAATGACCCCACAGTACTGGGTCCGACATTTTAGGTAAACTAATGGATACAGACTCTGTTGACACATAATAGATGTCAGGTCTCAGTGCTTGAATCACCATGGAGAGTGTGTTGTGTGCGTTTGTACTGAATGCTAAGAGGCATATCTCTGAAAGTGGGGAAGAGAAGCAATGAAAGGATACTAATGTGATTATAAATTTGTATTCCCTCTAATCATACTTCATTTTTAACTGTTTAAGGCCATGATTAAAAATTGACAGTTATATTAATATATATATTAAATATTTTTAAATATATTAAAACCAAAAAGTTGAACAAACTTTGGTTTAAAGACCAACCCTAAGTATAGAGCACCTGATTTAATGTTTGAAACTAGATGTCATAGAAACTGACCAGTTTCTATGACATCTAGTTGTACAAGTTATACAAGTGATAATTAAATATCCTATATGTGTTTTTTTGCCTAATTCAAAGATGATGTATCCTTCTGTTTCTACTTGGAGGTCAGAGGTCAGGTAAGCACTTGAGGTTACATGAGCACAACTGGGTGGTGTTTTTGTAAATTTTGGTGCAAGGATGATCACTGGGTTACACACCAAAACGGAACAAATTTGACAAACATTTGTTATGTTACGTTGCACATTAACATTTTATAGAAACTTTTTTTTTTACTATTTTCAACATGTAATACACCAAACGGCTATTTATTTATTGATTGTTTGATTAAATTAAATTAAAACAAGTGAAATGGATTTATCATTAGCTTATGCGTTAGCCCACTTTGTAGGCCTTATTGTGATGACTGTATCTAAAGAAACGTAGAGAAGACTGTGGCCTACTTAGACGTACTGATTCATATGGAGAGCACAAAGCCTCAGGGAATGGCATGACTGGAAGCAGACATTTAGATAGAGTGGAGATTTGTTTTTTGTTTTGTTTTTTTCTTTTATGGGAAATAGTTTTACATTTAATTGGAATTTAATGGGGTTTTCTTTAATACAGAATGTTGTGTCTGTGGGGTTTGGTACTCCATGGTATTTGGTGTGGTAGCCCAGATTAATAATTAGATTTTGCCAAACCCAATAGAGGTTAGATTCTGAACAGGAGCAGTTTTAAAAGACAACACTTGGGAGTCTCTGTCTCACTCTAGTGGTCTCGCTTCTCATTTCCTCTTCAGCATCTTCTGGGTTTTTGTTTTTTTTTATCGGCAGGCAGATTTCCCACACACATTTTTCTGACATATTTCTGAGGATGTCATTGGCTCATTCCACTCTTGCCTAATTTCAGATTCAGCTGTCCTGGTGTACTTGTACAATTGCATGTTACAAAGAGTTTTCTTTCTTGGATGGAAACATTTAAACTTTTTTCCTCTCTCTAATCCAATTTATCCCTGCAACCTAAAAGATGGATAAGAACGACCAGGTGCAGAAAGCCAAGCTGGCAGAGCAGGCGGAGCGCTATGATGACATGGCGGCTGCCATGAAGGCTGTGACGGAGGAGAGCAAGGAGCTCAGCAACGAGGAGCGCAACCTGCTCTCTGTTGCGTACAAGAACGTGGTAAGACTTCTATTTCTAATCTCTAAAATTCCACACACATCATGTGTATCAAATCCATCATTAAATTATTATAAATATCAGTTCATAATTAGTCGTCATTAGGGTCACAATGTGCTGCGTTCTACAGGGCATTAAAAGCACGGTTAGCTCCTGTTAGACTTAAAATAATAATGGGTAATATATGAAATTAGAGTAGATGTTAAACATAATGTTGAGCAACATTTTAGTGGAAATCTAGTTTATTTTTGTCATGTTAACTGCAGGCTCTCAGAACCGTTTATTTTTCTTCAAATAGCAAACTGATCAGAGGTCACCTTATGTCAAACTGTGGTTCAAGCGCCCTCTGCTGGATAGTGTTGTAATTACTGAATACGGTTATATTAAATGCATACAATTTAAACAACTCTGTGTTGAGATCCAGTGTTCTGCTGTTTTAATTAACAATGATAACTGCTATAAACAACAATTAGCTTATGACTCTAGCTTTGTTTTAAGTTAATTGGTTCACAGTATTAGCAAAACTTTGTTTAGGACATGAGAGTTGAACTGACTTTATAACCAACCATTGTTGTCGGAACATTTATCCTAAAATTCACATAAATGTGCTTCAAATACATAATTGGTTAAAGGTGTCTTTCTTCTGACACCTTATTTGAGATGAGGTTGAGTCTATTTAATAATGTCTAAAATATTTTACGTACTGACATCAGACACTGTTTTATTGAGACTATTGGGTGACTTAGTAGATGATTGGTCAGGTTGTTGCAGCACAAGTCGGCAACCTTATGTCACACCTTGCTTTGTTGGAATGACAAACCCTGCAGCACAGTTTGAATGTGGATGTAAGAGTTCTGACATTTGGGATCTTCTCACCATGACGTTATCACATTCTTTCTTTCTCCTGATCTTTCTTTGGAAACATTTACTGTAGCTGCCTGAGGAAACAGGACACAGAGTGCGGGCTGCAGCCCTGCACTGTACTCAATACTTCATCCTGCTGCAGTGCACTTATATATTTTTAAATACGGCATAGTATTTGTCCTACTGTCCTACTACCGACTGTAACACCTCATAACTTTGAGCATCAGAAGTTTTTTATTTTTTTTTTATTTTAAGAAAGTTAAGGTTTAGAGTTTTAGACTCAGATATTCTGATTAGTCTGAGCAGCTGTGAATTAGTTGTTAAGCACAATATAGCATCGCAGCCCGTTGCTCCTTGTGTGAAACTCTTTGTTTGCATCAGCACAAACATTCTAATCCACAGCCACAGTCTTTTCCATTCTAATGTATTGATCAATGAGAGCATATGAAGTAAATTCACTACAGATCTGCAGTAAATACAGTACTGATGGGCAGGACATTATGACAATTTGAGAAAATTCATTTTTCTATTAGTCCTGCTCTGTCTACTCTAGCCTGCAAAACGAACATACTGTGCTCTATTAATATACTGTGCACTATTAATATACTGTGTACTATTAACATGCTGTGTACAGCACATGTGAACGCTTTTGGCCAGTTCTAAGTTCTTCTGATTTTGTTTCCCTCAGGTTGGCGCTCGCCGCTCCTCCTGGCGCGTCATCTCCAGTATTGAGCAGAAGACGGAGCCTACGGACAAGAAGCGTGAGATGGCCTGTGATTACCGCATGAAGATTGAGTCTGAACTCCAGGAGATCTGCCATGATGTACTGGTACGGAGGGTATAGTGGGGGCTGGGAAAGCGAGTTCTTAACACGGGTAGGTGGAGGCAGGCTAAAAGAGATGAAGGACGAGGACCAGAAAGAACAGTCTTTTTATTCACTCACAGTAGCACCTTCACACATGGATCATCTCCACTCTTTTTTTTATCTAGTATTTGTATTCTGGGTGCAGCTGGGGATTTGGGTAGAGTACAGTGAGAGGAAAAGAAGCAGAGTCCAAAAAACAGAGCTCAGAGACATTTTATTCAAAGTCAGTGTCCACTGCATTGAAGCAATTTGAACCATCAGGAAAGGTGGGCTGTATTTTTTACTGCACCCACAGATTGGAGTTTTTAGTTCTTGCTCAACACACCACAATCCATGTTCATCGATATGAACCAGAGGTTTACCTCCAATCAGGTTACAGTTGAGTTACTGATGCATCACAACCAGTCTCCATCAACTAAACAATTGTCAAGGTCAAAGAAGACCAATCTTCCCTGCCTGGTTAGCTGGTTTCTAATAATATCTTCAAGGTCACACTAATGAGTGTTGGTGTGTCATTGGTGCTGCTGAAATTAAAGATTTGTAAAGTAGTGACAGGACAGAAAACATAAAAGTGAAACATTTTGTCAGATTGATGGTAAAAAATACATTTTCCATTTTTACACTGAATGAATGAACAGGAAACAATGCTTTAAAGCTTCTTTTTTTAATTAAATTTCAATAATACATTTCGATGTAATATTGTAACTTTGGAAAACTCCATTTAATACTGTTGCATCTTAAAAAAATTGCAATATTTTAGTTAATGAAAAATTGTAGTTAGCTCTGGTTGAAAGGCATGGATTGCATGTATAAATTATTTTAAATTTCAGTTTTAGCTCAAAGGATGGATTGCATGGATTGCATGTATAAGTTATTTTAAATTTCAGTTTTAGCTCAAAGAAGATTTGTGTACTTAATATATCAATATCAACAAACATTATTACTGGTACTGTGTGTTATATAGAATTTTAATTACGATATAAACCTATTCTACTCTACTGTAGAAGATAAAACCATGTAACAGTTTAACCTTTTCTGTCATTGTTGCATTTTACTCTGACCTGATCTTCCCTGCATGTGGACGTTCTTCCCCCTATTCTCAGGTCAACAATTTAAACTTCTACGTTCTCGCATCAGTTGCTGTAGATGTTCTTTTCCTCTTTTGCAGAACCTGCTCGACAAATACCTCATTGCCAACGCATCTCAGTCAGAAAGTAAGGTGTTCTACCTCAAAATGAAAGGAGACTACTTCAGATACCTGTCAGAGGTGGCATCTGGAGATTCAAAGAAGGGTCAGTGTCTTCACTCAAACACTTTATTGTTAGAAGTGAGACAGTCACTGTAATGGACTTCAATCTAGAAATGTTCCTCCAGATTGAAATTTGATCAATCCCACATGTTAATGAAAATGAAAAAAGTCAGATCCAAGAACTAGTCTTAGTCTTGTCTGCAGGACTTTATTCATTTAATTTTTATATTTCCCCTCTGTTACCAAAGTGCTGCTCAGTTTGTGATGTGAGAATGTAATCATTGATGAATGAACATTGGGTGAACAGCCTGCTCCTATCTCCTGCCTTTAACAGTGAGCTGACTGTTAATCGTTAACACAATGATAAATGTCAACACTGAGTTGTCTGTTAGTTTCCACTGCTATGTTTGTTTTCTTTGTCTTAAAGTGGAGTTTTATGATCACATTATGTAACCGCAACATGTGTTTGTTCCCGTGCAGACACGGTTGATAACTCCCAGCTGGCCTATCAGAACGCCTTCGAAATCAGCAAGAAGGACATGCAACCGACACACCCCATCCGTCTGGGCCTGGCCCTGAACTTCTCCGTCTTCTACTACGAAATCCTCAACTCTCCAGAGCAGGCCTGCGCTCTGGCTAAGCAGGTGGGTGTAGGGGAGGACCGCGGTCATCTACCAGCCATTTCTTCCTCCCAAAAATGTAGATTGTGTCACTTTTTTTGAACAAGTTAAAACAAATCAAACTCTGGTGGGGGAGTAGGTCAACTTTTATTTTCCCTTTGCCTGCACGGTAACTGAGCTGGGTGGTTTAGCTTCCCCTAGTGTCTATACGACTTTATTAACAACTGCGTGTTCTTTTTCCTCAGGCTTTTGATGAAGCCATCGCTGAGCTGGACACCTTGAACGAGGAGTCGTACAAAGACAGCACGCTGATCATGCAGCTACTAAGGGACAATCTCACTGTGAGTAAAAATGAAGTTTGACTTGACATCAAGTTCAGCTTGATATAAAGTGAATAGAAGCAGCAAGATAAGTTTGTTAGCAAGAGATGTAAAACCACCACAACCTAAAATATTGAGTGTATTGACTTTGGCAAAAATGTCACCATTGGCCTGCAGGGGGCTGACAATAGATTTGGTTCTGTAGCCAAAGTTTCCCATAAATGTTCAAACATACTGCACATAATGATACCTGCATACAAGAGCAAAAGGGGGTCTGAATGGTTAGCTCTGGATGTTTCAGTGCCAAAGACTGACGGCAAGTATCTAGTATCTAGATCTAGTATCAGTATCTACAGGTACTCCTGGTTCCAGTATCAGACTTGGATAGTGGTATGTGGCCAATATTAACAAAAACTGCAGATTCCTTCAGGCAGCATGAAAGCACTAAGTTGGTAGAATTTAAATTTTAAAAAAACTACTACCAGTAGTTTAAAACACGAAACGAAAACATGAAACCCAGGATGTCAGAAGTGATTTGTTTTGTCGGACTCTGAGCAGTAGTCACTGCCTGTCCCTCTACAACAGCCTCAGTCAGCAGCCGTCCCTCCCTCCCTGGAGGTGTGTCTCTGTAAATATTTGTCCTCCTTATCTGTGCTGCACTGAAGAAGCCAAATGTTCCACCACTGCTAGGAACAAAGAACTCCAGCCAGAACCTTCAGACTCTGCAGTACTCCAACATGTAGAGTATGAATTGCCTACACCCTGCTGCTCACTGTACCAGAGCTGTCTGTCTTCTGAATGGACACGGTGTCCTTTATTTTAGGTCATTCATTCTTTACTTTGTAAAACTTCTCATCCTTTGTTCTTCAGGAAGTTAAAAAAAGAAAAGAAAATCAGGAAGCTGATCTTTGTGGTCTTCTCCCATCATTGACTTGACGCTATCGCTGTAGAGAAAGGAGCATGAATGTTTTGGGAGACTTTGCATAATCTGACTGTTGAGCACAAAATTTGTCTTTTCAAAAAAAAAAAAAGAATTTGGAGAAAGACTCCACACTGAACATGTCTCGTTCCCTCTGCAGCTGTGGACATCGGAAAACCAGGGAGATGAGGCCGAAACCGGCGATGGAGAGAACTAGAGCGCACTTCACTGTTAACCCATCCCTCCTCTCTCTTCCTCTAACGTTTATCTCTCTTCTTCTTTCTTCTCTTCCTCCTCTCTTTGTACACATAAACAGCCCATTCATTCCCTCATTCCCACTTGTTCAAGCCCAGCCTCCCAACTTCCCTTCTGTATAACCAGCAGCATGAATAGTACCTGTTCCTGTCCTCCACAAACCAAATTTTAAAAAAATAATAAACAAAGGAGGAGGAGGAGCGAATAGGCCACAACAAACCCAGTCACTCCTGGTTCCCTCTGTCCTTCCACCTCCTCTCCCTCTATTACGGCACTCCAGGGTAGGCCGGCAGACTCCAACCACAGGCCTGTCTCACCCCCAGCACGCAGGGAGGGGAGTTCATGAAGTACAAAAAAAGATCATTTTTTAAAAAAAAAGAAAATCCTAGTTTTTACTTTTTTTTTCCCCTTCATTCCTCTCTACTTTTTCCCCCTCATTCTCCTGCTTCCTTCCCAACATTGTCCTTTCATGCTCCTCTCTCTAGTCAGATAATGAATTTATATAGTTGTCAACTCCTTTTCCACTGGTTATATTCCACTTTAAACAACAACAAAAAGATTATTAAACTGTCCGTTGATCTCAACCAACACTGTGATGCTCAGTTTTTCCTCCACCGTTGGCAGCAGGTCCTCAGTTGACAGCAGACTGTTCGAAAAGCAGTGCCATTCTGCTGAGGTTTATACAGAAGGGTCCTCCTACCAACAAGGCTGTATTGTGACACTGACAAATCTTAAAAAGAAAACGTGTTTCAAAATATTCACTAACTGTTTTTATTTTCTAACCAGGATCTGAGTCTTCATCACTCACTGCTGCCCTGCATGTTTTAAGGAGCAGAAAACAGTTCAAATGAATTGGAAAATATTTTAAACAATGCCGTACATTCCGTCTTTGACAATAAAAGGCACTGGTCATCCTGCCATTCTGCTCCTTTTTTGGATGGGACACACGTTTTAACAAACGTCTGTGCTGCTGTCCTTACATTTCATTACTCTGCTGACTTTTTTTTTTCTTTGTGAAACAAACAAGTCAAACTGTTTTTTAAACAACACACTTGTGAACTCATCTTGACAGCAAATCTGATCAGGAAAAAACAATCGAATCACATTTCTCTCTAAAAACAAATCAAGATTCTAATATTTTAAACCTTTGTGATTTTTTTTTTTTTTTACTTTGCTTTACTCTCCTTTGTCACCTGCCCGTAAACATTTTTATTAAAACTAGACGAGTCCTAGTCCCAAATATATTGCTGACATTTACAAATGACCACAACACAGACCATGAGGATTTCACTTGACACCTAAAAATATTTGCGGTAAATTGAAAACTTTTCTTCACCCACTCAGTGTCACAATAACCTTGTCATGAACCATTTCAACATTCCACTCTGTAGGTGTCTGTTTTATTTTCTGTTGCTTGGGTCAAATGATTTCATGCACTGATGTTAAAAAGGTTAAACACAAGTCCACCCCCTTTTCTGTTTTCCTCTATAGCTGAACAAAAAGGCAGTTATTATTCTACGCTTTATAAGAAGAAAAAAAAATCCCAGCCGTAGTGAATGTGGCACCGAGCCTGTCTGTATATCTGGTATCTCAAATCACTTTTGTTTTTACTGACCAGTATTCTGCTTAAAATTTAAAAAGGACAAAAAAATACCCCTAGGGGGAAAAAAAAGTTTTTCTTTTGCTTCTGTGACGGTTTTATTGCTTAGCGCGCACGTGGTTGTGAAAATTTTAGACTTAGCTTAAGGATGCCAATTAAAAAAAAGACAAAAAAAAAAAAACCTTGACACCTACCTACCCACTTCCCCCCACCCTGGTTATTGACGTATTACTAGATTTGTGTATGTCTTTTAAAAAAATCAACTCTAGTTTCACCTTACATGTAATAAAAACAGGACGAAATGTAAGAGACGATTTAAAATGAAATAAAAGTTTTATCAGTTCTGAATCAGCTTCTGTTCTGACTTTTAATCCACATTTTCACCCTTTGTTGGAAATATTCTAGATTATTAGATGAAGACCTCAAAACTAAACATCAGACAATATGTAGGTCTTTAAAAAAAACATGTCGCGACCACGCGGTGGCAGCAGCTGTTGATGTTTTTACCGTGTGTGGAGCGGGGCTCGGGAAGCATGCAGTTAGGGTCTAGGTCAGTGGTTCTTAAACTTGTTGGAGGTACTAATTGTTGACACTAAACTGACAATATGAGTGTGAATCACATCACTGAAAGTAGAACCAGGTCTGTGTAGAAGGCAAAATGTCTTGTTCAGAAAGTGTCGAAAAGGTCAAAGTATGTTGTTTTATTTTCTGGATAGACTGATAATGACTGTGAGAGTAGAATTCTTATTTATTGTGTTTTCTAATTTATCATGAATCCATATACCAGTTTAATTTGTGTTGTTTATGTCACGGATTTAATTGCATGCAAATTCAAAATTAAATATATAGAATTTGCACCTGAAACCTACTACCTAGTGGATAGATGTGATTGAAGATCTAAAAAATCTTAAATGTTATTAAAAATGTGTCTGTGTAGGTTCTCTGTAGGTCATTTAAACCCCCCAAAATACTTTCATGTTAATAATTAAATGTACGTCATTTCCTTTCCCTGGTTTGCGCATGATTGGATAACGAGGCGCACCTGAGAAGTCAAGAGGTAGTACTTACCCCCGGTGATGGTTGCAAAATGAATGTGTCAAGGCAAATGGTTTGCTATTATTACGACGGTACGTACATTATTTCCATCTGGTTTTCTTCACTTTGGCGATGAACGCGTCATGTGCAGGACCAGTATTCAACAGAGCATGCGGACGGTTAGTTTTAAACCGTCTGCACGCTGACGAACCGCCGAGTATGGCAGCCGGTTAGCGTGCTAAACAGTAGCCTGTTTGAGCCGCAAGTATCGCTTCAGTCAGCGTGTTATTCTATTGTACGAGATAGTGTTTTTGGCCTCTAAATATGTGCACGAAGACCGTTTGGTTTGACTGTTCCAAACATTTTGGGTGTTGCGACTTTAGCCGTGTGTTAGTGAAGAAGTTGTTTGTTCTGTGGGGTACGTTTGTTTCAAAGGGGTACTTGCACTTTCTAGTACATTGTAACGATGAGACATCCATGAAGAACACGGCACATTGTTATCGAGGGTAAGAATTTATATTTTACATTTTCACTATTTAAGCGTGTGTGCCCGTATAACATTGATTAAGTAAATCCCTTCAGGGAGCAGCAGACCACTATCGCCATCACTTGGGCCGGTGGACTCCACCACGCCAAGAAGTCCGAAGCATCTGGTTTCTGTTACGTGAACGCCATCACCCTGGCTATTTTTGAGCTGCTCAAGTAAGAAAAGAAACATGTTTTGTTTTTTTTTTGTCATCGGAAATGAAACTTTTGGACAGTATTTACAGAGTTATGTGAAATGTTTACAGGGCATCTGGGGCTGGAAAGGGCAAATACTACACAGTAAATTACCCAGTCAGAAATGGTATTATTTGAGAGCATTTGTATGGAATGTTGTCTTTATTTCATCTTGTGTTTCAGGCCCAAAGAAGAGGTTTAACCAAGTTGTTCCTCTTCTGATGATAGAACCTTTGTTGAATCCTGTGAGCACATGTGGTGGTTGTGAGTATGTAATCTTTACCTGAAGTGTTGCCTGAATCTAGTCCATCTTTACCTGGAGTGTTAAAATAAAGCTGAGAGTTACTGTTGTAATTTGACTTGTATTGAAATCTGTATCTATAGACTTTGTAAATGTGAAGTGTTTTTGCTATTAAGAGTCAAGAGTTATTTCATTTATTGTGCAAGTATTGTGGTTGGTTTTTAAGAACGTAAGTATTGTGGGGGGTTTTTTTAACTTACAGCTAAGTAATACATAGCTTTTTACTTAGAGCTTACTTTTTACTAGTTAACTTTTTACTGCACATATAATTCACTTGGCAGCATGTTTTGGGGCATAAACTTGTATGTATTGGGCATTTATTTATTGGACATTTTTTGTGACAGTAACACTCAAAGTCTACCTTGTTTATGGTTCATTTTCATGGAATTATTAGTACACCATTGCAGTAATTGTAGTATTAAAATATGAATTTATAATAAAAATACATTGTAACAGCTTAAGACAGATATTTAGAACATTTAATGGACACCAACAGATGTTTTGAAGTAACTGAAACTACTATTTAAATGTATTACATTATACATTTAGTAGATGCTTTTAACCAACATGACTTACAGTTTGAGTCAGTCAATCAACAAGAGACCCTTTTTTTCAACTTTTTTTTTTTTAATAAGTATTTTTCATTGTATTGTTGTTTGTATATCCAATTAGTGACTGGTGTCTCCAAAATGCTAATAATAAATTGTAAAAGCACAGTTATAGTCATAGAGTAAAAAGTATGTTTAATAACAAAATTAGAGAAAAATATTAGCTATAGCCCAAGTTAATACACCTGGCGGTGGTGACCTGGGTTGAATCCAGGCAAGGTAATTGTGACACTTTACCGAAGTTTATGTTCATACTGAGTGCTGTGGCTGTCATTCTTTTTTCCAGATAACATTTCAAAGGCACAGAGAGAAATGCTGCAGTTTTACTGAACATTTTATTTATTTCTCAGGGTGAAACAGAAAAACAAGGTCCAGGTGGACCTGCTGGTCCTCCAGGAATCCAGGTGAGACATACAAAACAACACTCAAGTAATGATGGCATGGGGATTGTAGTTAAAAAAGGATTACTTTAGCTATAATGAGGAACTTACCTTGAACATATGTCAGTGTGCACCTAGACACAATGTGAGTTATGGCATTTACACAATATTTTATTTTATTTTATCTTGTTAGAAAAAAAAAAACTATAGTCAGTCATCAGGTCAGATATGTTAAAGAAATGCACGTTTGTGTTGCTAACTTCGGCCAACAGCAAGTTGGTGACACGAACATAGGAGTCTAGGTACAGGCTGGGAATTTTTTTGGGACTTGGGTTTTTTTATACTTAGAAAAATCACTACAATTACTGAAATCAGTAAAACAAGTGATCTGCTTCAAAAAAAGATGCTCCTTCATTCTACCTGGCTGTGTCCACAAGCCTAACACTTTAGGCCGCCACCTCACATGTCCGTCTTCTCCTCCATTGCACTGTTAATGACAATAGCAGAGGAGGGACAATGAATGGAAGAACAAGCAGTGTTGGTCTCATTCACCTCTTGAAAGCCACACAGTTGATGGGACCAAAATGACCTTTGACCCCTGCCAAACTCCTCCTCGTACACAGCGTGGAAGAACCTGCAGATTAGAAGAACATGTCACTGTGCCACATGTTAACACAAATAAACAGGTTTTCCTTAAAAGCAGCTACAAAGTAGTCACTTCCACAGCACCGCCAACAACTACATGTTTACACATCACTATGACTGCTCACTATTAAGTGATACAAAGTTGTGGCCTCCTCAGTGCTAGTGCAAACAACACAATGGAATAATCTGTACATTTTCTTCATCTGTTTCTCTTGTTCAGATGAAGACAACAATCACTGGATCCTTTATTCAACCACACAATAATACTCTGGAAACACCACTTCAACTTACCTGGCCTCAAATCTGGCAATCCTGGTGAAAGTTGTGGTCACTTCAATGGCCTCCTGCCCACCTCCCATAACCACCTACAACACACACACAATTGCAAGGTTCGAGGTCACTGTTGATCTACTACGATACACATTGCACAGTGACAACTTCATCTTACTTGATGGGAGAAATGGCGGCAGACTTCCCCGGTCTCTCAGTTTTAAAAGTCTTGCTGTGATCCAGAAAGGCAGAGTCAAAGAGCTGTGGAGAGAACACATGGCACTCAGTCATTTGCACAACATCACCAGTCCACTTCTTGGATTCCAAAACAAACATTAAATAATAATTTCAATTTTACTCCACAATTGTTCTCCAATCTGGGTGGCTGACGTAGAGCCTTTAACAGCCTCACACAGTCAGCTTTGAACTAAGCAAACTTTTATTCAAGCACTAAATTCTCTTTAAGGCCTTAAAGTCACAGACAGTCAAGTCACTTAGCTTCATTGGACTGTAATCTGTCAACATTCAACAGTAACACAAAACCATAACAGATTATACCATAACAGTTCATTTCAAACTGTATCACTCGTTTCTCCTAAGCTGTACTTCAAATATTCTTAAGTCTATTTCAGTAGTACATAAGTCAGTGGATTTACATTACAAGGTCTGTAGTATAGACAGAATGACCAACAAACCTAGACTGAAGGAAAATGTCATTGTAAATAAATGGGACAAGTGGACACACTCAAATTAACCACACCTACTACTGTGTGTTTTTTTGGTGTATCTTCTTATAACCCCAGCAAATTGTCAATGTTACTTCAGTTCACACATACTTGTATAACAAACTATAAATAAATATCTTCAAATACATTTATCATTCACTTATTTCTGTTGTTCTACTTTGGAGCGGGGGTCTCAAGCACAAATGACTGGAGAGTCTAACAATTCCATACATATATAAACAAATCCAAGAGTTAAAAGGAAAACAACTTTTGTTTGTTGAAGACTTCCGTTGGGCAACTGGACATGAAATTTTCACTCAACAGAGGAGGTGGGCTAAAACACAACCTATCACCCACACACACTTCTGATGATTATTACAACGACCCATCAGATTCCTAACAACCGTTAACACTTCCCCTGACGGCCCACCCGACAGGAGTAGCTTTATTTTTTGTCACACCCACAGTATATATATTTGCTGTACTCCCCTCCACCAGTTAGAACTGAAGAAGCGTCTTGGATGAGAGGCGTAACGTCTTCTTGAGGAAATTTCACGTCCAGTTGCCTAACAGAACTACAACCATGACCTGGATGACTAAGAATCTGAATCTTAGTTAACTCTTTTCTTTATTCGCCTTCAAAAACTCTTCTCTGGGCGCTCTCCTTGACAGCCAGCCAGGTGTCATTCTGATGACTTTATTTCTAACATTTTTCAACAACTTATCACATCAATCATTTACAGAAGATTTCTCACCTTGGCGGTGTTGTCCTTTGAGACACTGATGAACATGGTGAGGTCTACAGACGTCTGGATGTCGTTGATGTGCCTGCTGTGCTTCTCAGCTTTCTTCTCCAGAATACTGACAAATAAACAACAAAAATGTTCTTCATTATCACAAGCTCTACAAAAGATGCTGTCTGTGATTCATTATTTCCTTCAGAATTTCATTTCTATAATACTTTGTACAAACAATTTCTTTAGCAGTAATCAGGAAGCTGTGTACTATCTGCAGTCTTGTTTCTTTTACGGTATTAATTGGTTTACGTTGTGGGTGGCGATTACCTACCGATCTGTGGCTCCCTCGGGTCGATGAAGTTCATAAAACCCTGACAGCCCATCTGCTTGTCTGTGGAAAACATGATGATGTTGCCAGTGAAATCTAACCTGCGTGTTCTGATGGAAGACATTAAAGAAGGGACAGAGCAGAAATTAAACACCAAAATATAAAACATCTAACAGGAAATTATCCAAAATACATTTAAACACTCTATACACTAATATGTCTGCTGAAACTGCCTATATAGCCAACTGTTTATTTAATTCATTGTTTCACTGCTCAACTATTTACACTGTGCATATAGTTGTTATATATTTATTTTATATACTTGTTCACATAACATCCTTATAATTACACTAGTTCTGCTTATATATACATATCATAGGTATAATGTGGTATACTTTACTATGCATACACATCATACCAATTTAATTTAAAATAATAGTATAATGAAAATAATATATATTAATTGAGATTGCAATCAACAACACACACAGCAACAAAAATGACCTACTAACTAACACTAATCTGTCTATCTACTACCACAAACAGACTAATAACATCCACTGTTCAGACTTCCCATATTCATTGACAGTGTGCTGCTACTCATGTTTGTATTTTACCTATTTGTGCGTTTTTATTGTTGTTTTGGGATTCAGAAACTTCTATCACATTTATCACATGCATTTCCTTTTCACGCAGTCCCACAGTCGACAGTTGTTCTCAGCTGATCCTGTCAAAACATTTCTGGTGTCCCCTGCGAAGAGCTAGTTAAGGAACGTAGCATGTACCGTGGCAGCAATTCATGAGCGTACGCTAGGGTCAACTGTGTCATGATTACACATTTACTTGGTACTATAACTGTCAGACAATTAATCACAATATTACAAATATGTTGCATGATAACCTTTAATGTCATAACATTGTTGCAGTGTGTCAGTCTTCCCTTGTTTATTGCGCTTATTGTATGAGTTCACGTTGGTTTTATTTTCTGACACTACTCAGAAAATGTTAGGGCCTTCGAGTTGCTAATTATTAGTGATATGAACTTATGACATCCGTGGTGAAGACACGCAGCATACCGAGCTAAATAACAAAGGATACAGTCAGTCGACACACCGCACAGCTGCCGTGTGTCCGTTGTAGGTACTGAGTCGTTCCACACTATGGCCACCTGTACGGGGAGACATTGTTGAAGGTAAATATTAAAAGGTTTCAATGCAATCATGGCTTCACTTCACAAACTATTGGTTTGCTCTACACTACTGGCGCCACCAATAACCTCAGGAAAAAAATCCATGTTGCACTGCTTCCCTTTTAATCTGAATGAAAATAAATAAATTCTACTGGCCTTAGTCGTGTCCCCTTTTCACGACTACAGTATGATTTTCATATCATACACACTACAGAGCACATAGCCTTAGGTTTGTAACACAGTCGCAAGTTAAAACGAGCAGAGGATTACTCTGCTACTCGAACAGCAGAGTCGTGTTGCCATTTGCAGCCTCACACGGACTTGACATCAAACTAATTACTATCCTATAGTCACTGGTGGCACTTGTTAAGTTCAATCATTTCATGTCACTCACTGGATCTTTAGCGACGGAAAACAGGTCTCCTTCTCCGTTGTACTTGATCTGAGTGATGGACGGCCATATCACTGGAGTAGGATGGGTTTCTGTACAGAAAAGCAATATCTGCAAGTTTATTTCATATTTTCAAAAAGGTGCATCTGCCCAGCTCAACTCCAGCCTAAGGCAAATTTCTTATTTACCACGACAACTCTATATTCATTATTTAGGACGAAAAACTAACTACAAAACATTCCAACAACTTTCGACAAACGCTAACGTTAGCTGACGAGACGCATATGCCAGCGTAAACTGAACTGTTTCGACCGAACGACTATCATTTCAAACAAAATACAACCAACAATTGTTTTCAAAAACCCACCATTTCAATCAATCAGATGTAGCCACCGTGCCCAGTTATTTGACTTGAAAGCCCGCTGGAAGCCCAAACGGCTAACACTCGTGTCTCATGCGCCGGACCGCAACCGGAAATAACGTACAATAGTGATGTGTTGTTCATGAGTGATTCGTTCATATTGAACTCACGAGTCACACTCTGCGAACTAATCACTCACTGCGAACTACTCACATACTGCGAACGAATCAATCACTGCGAGCTACTCACATACTGCGAACTAATCAGTGAGTGAACCAGTCTCTGCGAATTAATCACTAATGGTCACATTAAATGTCAAAATGAGTTTTACATTCACTTGGACTCTACCAAGAGTTTTCATTTGTGATGGGATGCGCAGATTCGTTCTCCCAGATTTGTTCACAGATTCGTTCAAAAGTGATTTTTGAAATATTCATATAAA